AGCCGAAGTCGGCCGCTTAACCAACTGAGCCACCCAGGCTCCCCAATACGCTTTTAATGTAACTTCATTTTGCTTGAAATTTGTTAAATTCAGGGTCATATTTTGAAATTATGAACTTGATTAACCGTTTCAGCCATGAAAATATAAAAGAATGGTATAAGGCGGGCACCTGGGTGTCTCAGTCGGTTTAGCATCCCACTCTTGATTCCAAGTGCAGGTCACGATCTCATAGTTTGGGAGATGGAGCCCCACCTGGGGCTCTGCGCTGACAGCATGGAGCCTGCTTGGGATTCTCTCTCCCTGTCTTTGTTCCTCCCGTGCTTGAGCACAGGTGCGCTCTCTCAAAATAGATATTTTTTAAAGAAATTCATTTTTTAACTATGGGTGTGCTGGGTAGAAATGCAATTGGTTTTTCGCATGTTGATCTCATACCCAGAAACCCAAGCGGACTCTTTTTCATTCTCATGTTTTCTTATAGATTCTTTTGGGCTTTTTATGTAGGTAATCCTACCATCTAGGATCTAGGACAGTCTCGTGTCTTCCTTTCCAATCGTTATAAATTCTTCCTTTCTTCATATCAAGGCACTGCCTAGTAATTCCCATATAGTGCTGAGGAGGAGTGCTGAGAACGGGCACCCTTATATCTTTCCTATTTCTAAAGGAACGTTTCTAATATCACCATTAAATCTATTTGCTCTAACTTTTCAGGTGTTTTATGGGGTTAAAGAATTCCTTTAACTTCCTAGACTAAAAGGTTTTTTCAGGAAAAAAAATCGTAATGGAGACTAGATTTTACCAAATGACTTTTCTGTATCTACCATGGCGACAGGATAGTTTTTAATCTGATAATATGGTAAATTATGTTCACAGATTTTACTGGATTTTTCTGATATTAAACTACGCTTGCAATCCTATGAGAAGCCTAACCTGGTGTTGGATTCAGTTGCTAACATTTCGATGATGATTCTTTTAACTATGTTCACAGATGATATTGGCTGATACTTGTCCTTTAGCATCCTGTCCTTGTTTGGGCACTCATAAAATGGGTTAGGAAGTGTTCTTTTTTTTACTCTATGTAAAAAAGATTATGAGCTGTTCTTTGATGGCAGTAGAACTCATTTGTAACACCATCGATCGCCTGTTTTGTTTGCATGTTTGGTGGGTAGACTGATTCAATGTCTTTAATATATGTAAGTCTAACTGATTTAACTTAAATTCATTTTGTAAGGTACATTTTCAAAAAAAAAAATTTTTTTAATGTTTATTTAGAGAGAGAGAGAGAGAGAGAGAGAGAGAGCGTGAGCGGCGGAGGGGCAGAGAGAGAGGGAGACACAGAATCCAAAGCAAGGCTCCAGGCCCTGAGCTGTCAGCACAGAGCCTGACGCGGGGCCCGAACTCATGAATCACGAGATCATGACCCAAGCTGAAGTCGGACGCTTAACCGACTGAGCCACCCAGGTGCCCCTGTAAGCTACATTTTTTAGAAGTTCTCATTTCATGCAAATTTTCAAATTTACCAGTATAAAATTGTTCATAGCTTCCTTCTTAGAAAATCATTTTTCTTCTGCGGTTATGTCCCTTTGTTTTCTAACATTGCTGGTGTTCTCTTTTTGTTTCCGTTATTTTGGTTAGTGGTGTTTCCATTTTACTAGACTCTTCCGAGGACTGACTTTTGGCTCAGCTGGTAACCTCTCACATACATTGCTTTTCTATTTCATTAACTTCTGCTCTTCACTGTTTTTATCCTTGGAGATTTTCTGTTCTTTCTCTAGCTTCTTATGCTAAATGTTTATGCCATACATTTCTAGTTCTTCCCCTTTCCTGGTAGAAGCATTTCAAATTCTGTTTCCCACACGAAAGATGCTTACCTTGCTTTGAAGCTGAGGTGTTTTCCACTGGGAGCTCATTGTCATGGACCCTCTTCTCTGGAACAGGCATTGCAGGGCGGCTTCCAAAGACCCATGGGCTCCTATTACCAAGACCTTTTTTCCATCCAAGTTGACACCTGCCCACCAAATGGAAATCCAGTATTATGATCAAAACTTCAGAGTCCTCCTCCCACGCAGCTTTAGTGGAAGGAAAAAGAACCTTTTAAAACTTGGCCATCCCCGTCAAGCTGCAGCCTACAATGCCTATCAGTCATAATTTACTCTTTGTGAATTTTATGGTAGAGTGACAGAGAATCATCATCCTGATGAGTCACAGGATGGAAAAACAGGGTCTACATGGGTTACCTCAGCTTAATGGCTACTTGTCTTAAAGGTATATATCAAAAGTTAATCTTCTAATAGAACTTTGGTGTATACTTTGGAGGGTTTTTTTTTTTTTTAATTTTTTTTTCAACGTTTTTTATTTATTTTTGGGACAGAGAGGGACAGAGCATGAACGGGGGAGGGGCAGAGAGAGAGGGAGACACAGAATCGGAAACAGGCTCCAGGCTCTGAGCCATCAGCCCAGAGCCTGACGCGGGGCTCGAACTCACGGACCGCGAGATAGTGACCTGGCTGAAGTCGGACGCTTAACCGACTGTGCCACCCAGGCGCCCCAGAGGGTTTTTTTTTTTTTTTTAATTGAAGTATAGTTGACACACAGTGTTATATTAGTTTTAGGTATACAACATAGTGACGTGACTATATGTCATTCTACGCTCACCATTAAGTGTAGCAGCCATCTGTCACAATACACCGGTATTTCAATACCACTGACTATATTCCTATGCTGTTCCTTTTATTCCTGTGACTTATTCATTCCATAACTAGAAGCCTGTTCCTCCCACTCCCTTTCACCCATTTTGCCCCCTCCTACCCATGGCAGCTACCAGTTTGTTCTGGGTCTATGGGTCTGCTGCTGCTTTTTTTGTTTTTTTAGATACCACAAATAAGTGAAATCATATGATATTTGTCTTTCTCTGACTTACTTCATTTAGCATAATACCCTCTAGGTCCATCCATGTTGTCACAAATGGCAAAATCTCATTCTTGTTTACAGCTGAGTAATATTCCATTGCATATGTATACCGTATCTTCTCTACCCACTCATCTATCAGTGAATACTTAGATTGCCTCCATATCTTGGCTACTGTCAATAATGTTGCAATAAATATAGGGGTGCATGTATCTTTGTGCATTAGCGTTTTCACTTTCTTTGGGTAAATACCCATATAGAATTACTAGATCATGTGGTATTTCTCTTAATTTTTTGAGGAACCGCCATATTGTTTTCCACAGTGGCGATACCAATTTGTATTCCCACCAATAGTGCATGAGGGTTCCTTTTTCTCCACATCCTCACCAATACTTGTTATTTCTTTTGTTTTTGAGTCTAGCCATTTTGATTGGTGTGAGGTGATATCTCATTGTGGTTTTTATTAGCGTTTCCCTGATGATCCATGATATTGAGCACTTTTTCATGTGTCTGTTGGCCATCTGTATGTCTTCTTTGGAAAAATGTCTACTCCGACATGTTTAATGTTTTAATCAATTATTATTATTATTATTATTGGGTACTGAGTTGTATAAGTTCTTTATACATTTGGGATATTAAATATTTTGGAATTTTTGTTTGATTGTTGCATGTTTGGATGTGGAGAAGAGACATCTTCCTCTTTTTCACTCAAGCTGGAATCAAGAAAAATTTAGTTAAATTTTTATATAATCAGCTAGAGAGTCCTTAAATATATGAAATCTGATAACCAAGAGAAAGAAATTATTCGTCTCTACATTACTGACATAGAAAAGCAAGGTCAAGGGGAGAATGATGGAAATTGAATACTGATTACTGAAAAGAGATATTGCTCACTGATGAATCCCAATCACGGTTTCCATACCCTGAACTATACCTGACAGCTTCCTCGTTTAAATATTAAACAAAAGTCTTATTTAAGTCTATACACTGACAGATTTGAGAAGCTGACACTTGGAACAGTTTTCATTGTGGTTACTCTGTTCCATGAGAGAAGCTGAACACCTGTTTACAAGTAGGCCGCCCATCTTGACCTGTTTCTCTTTAAAGCTGTAATACAGTTAATCTTGTTAGAAAAATTTGTCACGCTCATTTATAGCTCCCAAAAGATGAGAAAAAGGGTTGACATTGAACATCACTTCCGTGTTTCAATTAAAATCTTCCAGAAACAAATGCTTATTAAAAAATCAAGTCATGGGGCGCCTGGGTGGCGCAGTCGGTTAAGCGTCTGACTTCAGCCAGGTCACGATCTCGCGGTCCGTGAGTTCGAGCCCCGCGTCGGGCTCTGGGCTGATGGCTCAGAGCCTGGAGCCTGTTTCTGATTCTGTGTCTCCCTCTCTCTCTGCCCCTCCCCCGTTCATGCTCTCTCTCTGTCCCAAAAAAATAAATAAACGTTAAAAAAAAATTAAAAAAAAAAAAATCAAGTCAGTACCAATACGTAGGAAATAGTGGCATTTCTGAAGGAGCAACCATACCTGACTTTTCAAGAAGTTCAACTACAGCTCTGGCCACAGGTGAGACGTAACACTCGTGGGCGTCCCCGCGGACCAGCCTCCCCAGGTTTACATCTGTTACTCTGAATTTGAAAATAAGGGAAGTTGGAAGTCAAAACTGGGTCAAAACTTACTGATCTGTAACTCACATGTATTAATCCCAAATAACATCCGAGTCAACGTTTCATAGACAGGCTATATTAAATCATTAAGTCGAAATAAAGAGTGGGCAGGAATAAAGACCACTGGCTTCTTAGCGCAGTCCCTCAGGAAACTCTGAAGTGGTCCCTGTGGGTTGGGGACGACCTTGGGAATTCTGTTCTGCCTGGATCGCAGGACCACAGCATAAGGCCATGCGGGGCCCCGCTGTGCACAACTCCAGGGAGCTCTGTCCAACGCACTACGTGGAATCTGCTCTGAAGTGTGCATACCAGGGTCATATAGTAGAGCCCACTTTCCCCCTGAAGCAATGTATACCTCAATCAGTATTAAAATCCAGGACCAACCCCAGAACTCTGGGGTAACGTAGCAAGACTTGGATTCACAATCCCCATTTAGCATCAGCATTTATCTCCTTGAGAAGTCAAGGGAAAAAATGAGTGACCAGGTACCTTCAATGGCTTTTGTGCTCTTCCTCATTCAAATCCAGGACTAGCTAGTCCGTAACTATCTAGCCGAAACCAACGGTCTCAATAAAGGCTAGTAACGAAAGAGACATTTAGAAAAGTTCCCATAATTCTCTTCTTTTTAAGGAAAGATTTGAAATGACACTTTGATATCTTTAGGTCCTGGATGCATTCGAATTGATTAGGGCTTCTTCTCCCTTCTAGTTAGTCTAATACAGGGTCAGAGATTTTCAGGACAGCTTTGCAACCTGTGTTTGGGTCTATCCTCAGACTGAGTGCCCACAGAGGCTGGAGTAACGGAAAAAGCCTGGGTGTGTCGGCGAGGCGGGAGCCTCTCAATCCAGCTCCCTTAAGACAGCTGGATTGGGAATCTAACTTTTCATTTGCTTACAACTTTGTAACACTGAATGTATTATATTCTTTTTGGCCAGGGTACAAAACACTTCCTATTTCCACGTAGGTAAATGAGCTTTTCATTCCCCAAGACTCAGAGTCCTGATGACCCACATGAATGGGCGGTATTCCTTGTCTCCTGAAGCTGATGTCACGCCAGGACATGAGTCAAAGACAAATATTAGTGCACCACCTACTTGTAGTTTTCCTCTCTAATTTCAAGTAAAACCTTGTGTTCTGAATAAAAGTGCTTGTGTTGCTTTTCTCAAATGACCTGCTTGTGTTGCTTTTCTCAAATGACCTGGGGCTGAGAATATGGTCCTGCTGGGGACTCAGGACGCTGGGTTGTTTCTTTGGTCTGGCAGAATTATCAAGGAAAAGCTCATTAGAAGACTAGGCTGGCCAAGGACTCTGTAAGCCAGGCAGGAAATTACCAAATGAACATGATGGTGTTAAGGACATTATTTCCAGAATGGCACCCAAGCACTACAAAAGGACGTGTGCATTTTCTAAAATCTGTAACTTTTTTTTTTAATGTTTATTTATTTTTGAGAGAGAGAGAGAGAGAGAGAGAGAGAGAGACAGAGTGTGAGCAGGGGAGGGACAGAGAGAGAGGGAGACACAGAATCAGAAGCAGGCTCCAGGCTCTGAGCTGTTAGCACAGAGCCCGATGCGAGGCTCAAACCCACGAACCGCGAGATCATGACCTGAGCTGAAGTCAGACACTTAACTGACTGAGCCACCCAGGTGTCCCGAAAATGTGTAACTTTCTTATACGGAATTTAGAAAGCCCTCAAATCCCTGAAATAGTTAAAGGATTTCTTGCACCTCTTATTACTGACATAGTTGAAACCGTGGAACTAAAAGAAAAAGAAAAATCTCAGTAGAAAAACTCGCTTAGCAGTAAGAGTTGATTGCTTTCTTTTCTATTTTCTCACCCATCCACATCCTTTTCTGGTTTCAAGGCATTGAGGACTTTGTTGCTAAATGAGTTCTCAGAGATCTGAAGGGCAAGGCCATGTACTCGGGTGTCTTCGTTAATCTTCAAGATTTCATCTATAATCTACAGAGGAAAAAAAAAACCCTAAAATCAATTTTACGAAAATAAGAGCCAACAAAAGAACCGATTCATAAAAATGCATCTGTTGTAGTTCCTTTTTCAGTCCTTGTTGAAGACTTGATGTAAAGCAGAATGAATCACATCTAGTTTCTCTTTCTCCCATGTTTATAAAAGCTCAAAGGAAGCATGCCTGCATTTTAGTGACTTCTCAGTCTCCCTTATTGTGCTACTTCCTGGCAGAACAGAACAAAATAAAACCAAACCAAAGCTCGACAGTTCACAACATTTAGATAGGCAAAAGATAATTCCCTGTCCACAACTATACTTAAGCCAAACACACTGCCAACCTTCAGGGAGAACAGGAAGCAAGAGTTTCAGGCATTCCAAACTGGCCCGGACAAGCCTGTACTTCAAACACAATGTGTTCAACAAAAGCTTCCCTACTGTCACACCCAAGAAGCCATCACTGAGGCCCTCAGGTTCTCTGGACCTGAATGGCACACAGAAAGCATTTCCAAAGCCTTATGGTCAATGCATTCTAAGCAGAGAAATCTCCCTTTTATAGGAAACTCACTATTTACGAAAAAGACCAAAGTACAGTTTGGGAAGGTGATGTAAAAGCTAACGAGTGGCTAGGTAGGTCTTTTAATAAGCAACGCTCTGTCCTCTCTGTTTATTTTATGCCAGGAGAGAACATACTGATGCATTTCATTTCACAATATTATTTGTTCCTAAGAAAAAGAGATACCAGCCCATTGATAGGGGTCTCACTGCGAGGAGTATTGGTTTACCACTTCCGTTTCACTGTCTAGCAAAAAGTCACCGTGGTATGTCCACCTGGTAAGAGAGGACAAAGCTATTTGATCTACAACAACGAGAAGGAAAATTTTGTTTCAGTTATTCACTTATCTTTCATTCATTCAACAGATGTTGAATGTTTTGAGCACCTACAACTGTACCAGTTCTAAGACCAGAAACACAGTTGGGAACAAAACACCTGTCCTCACGGAGCTTATAGTCTAACGGGGAAGACAGGGGCAAAACCAAAAACTAGTATCATCTCTGGAAGTGGTAAATGACGTGAAGAAAAGTAAAGCAGATAAGGTAAGGGGCCAACGGAGAGATGGCGGGCTGGGGGTGTGGCCAGAGGGAGTGACGTCGATGGGCAGCCCAGAATGAAGTGGGCAGTCTATTGTTACCTGTAACTAGAAGGTGGCAGAAGAAACAACGAGATCTTAACTCACAAATTAAGACCCTTACTCTTTTCCAGCATAACGCCACCACCACGCAAATTCACATTCACATTTTTGACAAGGAAAAATCTTTGTCAAAAAATAAGTCAAGGAATTACACACACACACACACACACACACACACACACACACACACACACACACAAAATCAAGGGCTATCAACACCAGTAGCAAGGAACCTGAAAAAACACAGACAGTGGGTGTCTCGCAAAGGGACAACAAATTTCTCTGCATTTGTTACTGGTATGACACGTGTCAATATTTCTAATATATTATAATGGTAAGTGTGGCAGAAACCATCTGTCCCAGATATGGTTTCTTTTCTCCCTTAGTAATAAACTCTTGACGTTCAGCTGTTCTAATGAATGGTCTAAGGCCATCTGGTGTAAAGACTACCTTTCCCAGCCTTCCTTGCTTCGTGGCCAAGCGATCAGGTTCATGTCAATGGCACAGAAGCAGAACTGTGACTTTTAGGAACCGTCCCTGAAGGGAAGAGACTGAGGGCCTGCCTGTCTTTGCTCCTTATCCTTCCTCTTCCTTGCTGGTGACAGTAAGTTGTTGAATTGAGCCTTGTAATCAGAGAAAACAGGGAAAGTTAAGAAATACCCCCAACCTCTGTGTACTGCAAAGAACCAAATACAGAGCCTACAAATTCCCATTCATGTCTCATAAATGATTAGGTGAACTACTTGCCCCCCACAGCTCAATCTGAACAAAATGCTTGTTAATCAAACTTGGGGAAATTTCCCTCCTTCCCCCAGGCTGCTAACCGTTGGCCCACCCTCAGCTGGATTAGCAGACAACCCCTTTTGAGAAAAGGCTGGCTACAGGGTAAAACATTCTCTGACTCATTATCCCTACTGCAATAATCCTTTTGAATTATGTGTCTCCTTACTAAGTCTGGATTCATTGGACCCTGGCTAGAACGTGGATGTGAATATGGAGAGCTGAATCCGCCATCTTGGATCCACAAACAATACAGCAGCAAGAGAGAAGGAGCCTAAGTTTCTGGTGCCCTCGTGATGTCACCATAGCATCCTGCTTCTCAACCTGACTTACGTATGAGAAAAATAAACTTCTGTGTTACTTCATATTCTGTTATTTGAAGTTTTCCAGCGCTGGCGGTCAAACCCAAGCTTCCCTGCCATAGCTGGGCTGAAGAAAAGCTAGCCACAGAAGGACCAAACGCGAGCATGGTCTAGTTTCCTCACCACTACTTATGGGGGTGGCTGCTTCTCCCAGGCTTGAGATGACACTTGCAAAGGCTGTTACTCCCAGAACATTCGCCTGGAAAGGACGCTGAAGAGGATGTCATCCTATTCCTTTAGTTTATCGATAAGCCAGCTGTGACCCAGAGAAGCCAAAGGAATGGCCAAGGGCAAACAACCAGTCAGGACAGGGAAAAACCTGAACTAGTCCTCCAGCCGCCGACACCCAGACCATTTCCACTGGCCGCTACTGCGGCAGCCAGAGAAACACAACCAAAGCCACCGAGTCATAGACCAACTCTTCCACAGAAACATCTACTGAAGGACAACAGGCGAACGAGCATTTACGCTAGAGGGAAAAGCGATCTTCCCTCTCAAGGTTCAGCCGCCAGAATAGGCTGATCTGTTCAAGCACCACTGAGAGACGTCAACAGGTTTAGTAGATCCGAAGAGGAAAGCGACCGGAGCGTTCGGGTGCCCGTGGTACTTACCTCATCTTCGCTGCTATCTGGAGGAAGGCAGATGTGAGTGATGTTCAGACCAGCCTGCAAAGGGAACACAAGGTTATTCTGCCACGGTAAGAGAATGTGCTATCAAAAAACTATGACGAATTTGTGGAATGCAACAATCCTCACCTCCTCCGCCAGATTCTGGTTGATCTCCTGCATCAAGTTATCATCACCTGCCTTAGGAAAGGGAGCAAGAATGACAACGTAATGACAACACAAATGTCTTGAGAAGGCACAAGACGTAACGCAGAGACGAATTTTGTGACTATATTGCCCAATTAATTAGAAAGAGAAGGAAATACAGAATCCTATAGCTCACAAAAGAAGAGTAAAGCTGGTATTTATTCACATATGTATTTCACAACTTTCAAATTATGTTACTTTTAAAAAATAATAGCCCTCTTAGGGCGCCTGGGTGGCTCAGTCGGTTAAACATCCGACTTCAGCTCGGGTCACGATCTCGCGGTTTGTGAGTTCGAGCCCCGCATTGGGCTCTGTGCTGATGGCTCAGAGCCTGGAGCCTGCTTCGGATTCTGTGTCTCCCTCTCTCTCTGCCTCTCCCCCGCTGCTCTGTCTCTCAAAAATAAATAAACATTAAAAAGATAAAAATAATAGTCCTGCTAAGGCACACAGAGCCACACAGCCAGCACCTCTTTCTAAATGAGGACACCAAAGACAGGGGTTGAGAGGACTGCCCATAGCCGGAAAGCGATCAGCAAGCACAATCCCAGGAGGGCAAGGCCTCAGTCACTCTTCTTTCTACCCTTCTCGCCTGCCTCTCTTTGTAGGGCATGTGGAGGCAGACCACACAGAATGCGAGTGACTCGAGCACAGCTCCAGAGTGTTGAAAATCACAGCGCTCGTGGCCCTAGACGCTGACGTTCTGACACATTAAGTGCGTGCCAGAAAACGACGGCGGAGGCCCAACTGCTGTGCTGTGTTAGCTTACGGGCTTGGCTCGCCTCATCACTTCCCTGCACCTGTCACCCCACGGGGGTGCCAAGAAGGATGGCAAACAGTGCCAACCGTAGTCGGGAATGAAGGGGCCGCAGCCAGGAGATGTACATGAATGCAAAGTCCTTCTGGCACGCACTGACGTCTGGCCCTTCAAACGTACGGCAGGCTTCGCCGGATTTAGTAAGATTACTACACGCCATGCCCCGTCACGCATCTGTCTGCCACAGAAACAAAGGGGAATGTTTCCCCTTCATTTTCAAATCATATCTGATAAGCGTTTATGAGCACACACGGACGACAATATATCTATGGAATACAACTTATGTGTGTGCCTAGCTCCTAACCTCTGAAAGCTCCCCACACCCAGAGGAGAAAGACTCACAAAAGACACACTCAAGCAGAGCGGTAAGCAGCCAGTAACCAGGTAGAAACAAAATGACCAAAGGAAGAGGGAAATGACAGTGTTTCCAGCCGTGCCCTCTCTTCCTGCCCAAATGGGACTCAGGTGACCGGAAAATGGCCCTGGTCTTCTCTACACAATTATCTTCTACATTGAAAGGCATCCTAAACCAGTAGGACTGAACCACACTCCCAGCTTACCTGTATAATAGCCAGCACCGGCTTAAAGGCAGGGTTTTTTTCTTGCAATAAACTCAGAACCTCTTTCGAATTCTGAATGACTTCTCTACATTGAGAAAGAGAGACAGCACGCAGTCACGTCTTTGTTAATGGCTAGAAAGGACGGATACAACACACTTTCCTCGAAAGTTCGGTACTGTAAGTGAAAACAGACAACATAAGGGTGCGCTCCACCCGCGGGAAGTGTGGCCAGGCGGGGCAGGGTAACAATGCTGAAGCGCACACGAAACAAACCGGGACCATCTGAGTTTAAAGACGCGTGCCACGTAAAATGTTAGCAATTATTTTCTAGGGGTGACTTTTTCTCTGGTGTTTTCCAAGTTTACTGTAATACAAATTTCGCGTTTTTGTTTTTTTTTAAATAATCCCCTTCGGGGGTCCCTCCCCCCCCCCCCCCCCCCCCCCCCCCCCCCGGACCTCAAACATCGGTGAGGGAGGGTAGCAGAGACTGGGGAAGAGGCTTGCGGTCAGAAAAGTGGTGCGTCAGGATAAATCCCGGGTCCCAGAATTTCAAGAAATGTGAAGGGAGTGGGTGGGGAAGAGAACAGAGGGGAAGGAGGAAGGGAGGGGTAAGAAAAGGGAAGTGGGGGGGGGAGGAGGGAGGGGAGCACCAACAGTAGGGACCCATCAGAATTTGATATTCTCCCAAGGCCTCTTAGGGAGAGAGTGTCTCCAGTCCTCTGGGCTCCCGCCATCCAAGTCTGCATTTGGACTTCCTAAAAGTCCCAGTAGGTGACTCCTGGGCCCAGGGAAAGGGGTGCGTGCGGGGCAGACCTAGATAATGTGGTGCAAGTCACATACTCTCTCTGCGGTCTCCGGGATGAGCGATTTCACCACCACTGCTGTGAAATGGTCCTCACTTGCGTGTGAAGTTGGCTTTTTCCCTCTCACAGTAACAGACAAAAGGCTCAGCCAAAGCAGTACCCAAGCCCCTTGTTAAGACCATCTTGGGGCACCTGGGTGGCTCAGTCGGTTGAACGTCCGACTCTTGATTTCAGCTCAGGTGAGGATCTCACGGTTCGTGGGTTTGAGCCCCGCATCCGGGCTCCGTGCTGGTGGTGCAGAGCCTGCCTGGGTTTCTCTCTCTCTCTCTCTGCTTCTCCCCTGCCTGTGCTCTCTCTCAAAATAAATATTAGCCAAAAAAAAGACCATTTTTAAGTTTTGTTTTCTGTCTCTGACAGGGTCTTACATGCACCTAACAGCTTCCAAAAAATGCAGGGGGAAGTTCCGGCCAGACTCCAGCTGCACCGAATGGCCGAGGCACTGCAAAAAGGCATCCGTCCGCTTCCTCCAGTTTTCAGAAGAAACGAATGTGCCTACTGGCGGGAACTGCTCTCAGGACTGCTAATTGGGGCCACGTTGGGTCCTTACTCCTGCCTGGTTCCTAAAGGCACTGGGAAGGGGGTCCCCAGTGGTTTTGGCAGTGTGCGCGAGATCATCTGGGAAGCTTGGTAAAAAGAAAGGTTTCTGTGTCTCATTCCGGAAAGTCGGATTCAAAAAGGGCTGGGGTGAGGCCCAGGAATGTGCATCTTCAACAAGGGCCCTGGGGGAGGGGGGGGCTCTGAGGTACTGTTAAAGGGGAAACAGCCACGCTTCGGGATGCAGGCCTCCCATGACCCATCGCGATGTTTACTGTGTCTCCGACAAACTCCAGGAACCTCATGTGTGGAGACCTTTGTTCGCCTAATTGTACGCTCTCTTTCTGTGACTCAAAGCTACCCTCGAGCACTAAAAAAACACACATTCCGACGGCAACAGTTTTCCCAGTTCATAGCCTTGACCATCCCTCGGTAAGTGAAGGCATCAAACACCTGGAGAAGCACACACCTGTCACCACCTAAGCTCATACGGCTAATTCTCCCCGTCTTGTTGTAGGTAACGTTTCATTCTTTTTTTTTTTAATTTTTTTTTAACGTTTATTTATTTTTGAGACAGAGAGAGACACAGCATGAACGGGGGAGGGGCAGAGAGAGAGGGAGACACAGAATCGGAAGCAGGCTCCAGGCTCTGAGCCATCAGCCCAGAGCCCGACGCGGGGCTCGAACTCGCGGACCGTGAGATCGTGACCTGAGCTGAAGTCGGACGCTTAACCGACTGAGCCACCCAGGCGCCCCAACGTTTCATTCTTTGAGGTTACTCCTTATTTGTACGTGACAAATAAGCACGAAAGTGAGCACGAAAGGAGTCACCAGGCTCAAAAAACCTAAAAAGCAGCATACATGTTTCTGATCAGAGATTCTCTCACTCCTGTGAGGAAAGCTGCCTTGTCAACTTCCAGCTGGAAGGAATGCGTGACTGTCCAGCCCGGCTGGCTGCCCTGCGTAACTGCAATTCAGAACTTTATGGCTGAAGAAGGTGGTAATCATCTGTAATAATGTAAATACGGAAATTAAAGTATCCACTTGTCAAAGGACTTCAATTTCCTCCATTTTGACCTTCAACTTTCTAGTTGACTAAATTCTCCATTCCAGCTTATCTCTTAACTCAGACAAAAGTATCCCTTGAAGGGATTCAAAACTACCCCCTCAAGCAATAAGGACTGCCCTGAGCCAGCAAGACCCCACCCAGCCCAACACCCAGGCAATGACCTGATCTTTACCGCCCACCTGCCTGTATCGACCCACATCTCCCTTATATAAAACTAGAAGCATTTTCAGTATCTTCAGACTTTGGAAACCGTCTTTGGGACACCAGTCCGCTGTCTTCTGGGTGCTGGCCTCGCTGAGATAAATTCCTTTCTTGTTCCACCACCATTTGTCTCTCAGCCTTTGGATTTTGTCGGCGGCGAGGGGCCGAACCTATTGTTTGGGTCCCTCGGAGCCACGTGCTCTTGCCCCCGGGTGCTCCGGTTCCACCACCAGTGACTCCAATGACACGCTGGTGTCCCTTTGGCCGTGAAATAATGTGTGCACCAGGGTGCAGAATAATGACCTCTTTTCTCAGCCTCCCCTGCAGCTAGCTGTGTCCACACCCGAGTCTCCCAGGCAGCAGGTGCTAACGTGACTAGAAATGATCAATTTCAGTACATCCCTAAATGCAGAGCCAATTGGTTGATTTCAAAGGCGAAAGAGGTGACCAGCGCACAAAGAGTTAAACCTTTCCAAAACAGCCGTCAGTATTCTGAGAAGTAGCCCAGGTTGAAAGCACCACTGAGCAGTTTAATCGATCCGATCCACGCACTGGTGATTTAGCGGATACATTCACTATAATAGTGGTATTGCTACAACTGACAATGGCTCGGATTACTGGGTACTTCCTATGAATATTTTCTCCCATTTTCCCTGTTTACAGAACTCTTGAGTGAGAGCTGCTTGCGGCCAGCCAGCCACACTAGAGGGCACACTTCCCAGTTTCGCCTGCAGCTCGATGGGGTCCTGTCCCTAACAACTGGCCAACAGGCTGGGAGCACTGGCCAGAGGGAGGCGAGGAATGTGCAGCTAAGAGGTACACCAGCAGCGTGGCCCCCTTTCCCTCTTGCAGGCTGGGAGATGGGAGCAGCCGCCTTCCACCCAGAGCTGGAGCAGTGAGCAGACGCCCTCGGGTCATCATCCTACCTTCCCTGGTCGGCCTCCCTCTGCACACTGAGGCCCACAACATTTGGGGGTATCTTCAGTAAAGCAGACTAACTAGCCTGTTGCCTCTGGGTGCACAGGCCTGATCTGGGAGCTTTCATCGTATTTGCTGTGTGTAAGGTAGAGAATGAAAGACATCCCATTGTTTGAGAAACCACTAGCAGAAAAAAAAGCTGCCAGTTAAACTACAGTACAATCTTTTCTTAACACAGTGTTTACTTTGTAAATATTAAAAGAGCTTTTAAGACTTCTTTAGACATAGATATGTTTTATTTACCATAACCGACTCATATGAGCATAGAAAGGAAAACTGGCAAACAAACAGAAATATACCTAAAACTTCTTCGCATTCAGGATCTGACTCGTCTGAGTGACTTTTTTTTGACTCAAGAGTCCTTGACGGCAATTTCGTTTTGCTTTTTTTTTTTTT